AGTAATGAAGAGATCCAAGCAGAATTATATTTATAGAAATTCTAGTATTTTTCAATTTATAATTTTTCAGAATATTTCAATAATTGCTTACTTAACGAATATTAATTATATAAATACAAAAATTTTATTGTTAAAAAGCTTATAATCAAAAGAATAGAATATACTAATTTAATAATATCCTATTTGTAATAATATTTAAATATATTAACAAAACCTCTTTTCTTCTGTTTGATGTTTCTGTACAGACCTTATATATTTTTGAATAGCCAATCAAATTAAAGGCGTGTTTTAAAATATGTATATTAGTGATTACTACATCTATAAGCATTGTAGCAAAGCAGATAAACAACTACAATCACTCACACTCACTCACAACCCCAAGCACAAACCCAAGCACAAGCATAATCAAACACAACATTAAAGAATATGATGTAATACAGTTCTTCTACTCGAGTATATGAACGAAGCACCATCCCAACATCATACCTAGGTATAGTTATACAAAATTGGAAATGACCCTTTCAATCCATCCCTATCCATATTCATATCCATATCCAATCCATATCCAAATCCAATCCCACCAATTCAATTCAATTCAATTCAATTCTTCAATTCCGATATCAATCACCCTCCCTCAAACGCCACCCATCCATCCATCCATCCATCCATCACCTCCCAACACCCCATAAAAGGAAAAAAAAAGGAAAAAAAAATTCAAAAGAAATTCCTCTCCTGAGTGAGACTCGTCAAGATGTCTGTCTGGCTCATGTGTGTACGAGCGATGTTGTACTGGTATCCTGCTTTTGGGGTATATCTTCCTATCTTCCATCCCTCCATTCCCATTCCCATCCCCCATTTCATTCCTCCCCGCCTCTTCCATTCCAATTCACATTCCTCCTCCTGCCTTCTCCCCCTTATCTTATCATGAACATCCAGAAAAACGTCGCAATATCCATCCATGCCATTCAAAAATTATCAATTAAGTGAGTGGTATCGTGCCACCAACGATTTGTGACCCACGACTTTGCAAATAAGTAGAAAATCCAAAAGAAAACAGACCCAAAATCAAAGATACAAAGTAAAAACGCCCACAATGCTAAGACCCACCCATGGGTCCTACTATTACACAAATGCCAGTTCTCATTCAATCGAACCGGTCTATGAGTTGGGGAACATCAAAATATTTCGCTAATGGAGGACAGGAGTGAGCGTCCAAAAAGAAAAACCGCAAAAAATAATCACATCGCCATCTAGTCTAGTCTGCGAGCTTGGTTCCCAGCTGTGAAGCCCGAGAACTCTGCTGCGAATACAGACTTTTTCCGTCTCCCTTCATTTCTCCGAATAGTCGGCGGGAGTGACGTTGGAAAACTGGTATTGTTTTTGTTTAGTCGTCATCGTGGGAGAACTTCCCACTAAACCCAGGTGCGGAAATTTGGGAAATCCGTCCTGTGGAAACGAGTATTCGGCTGGTCCACCCTGATTCGACAATGTGTATAACGGGCTGGCATTGTTGTTGAACTGTGGAGAATCATGGCCATTACCCGAGAGGAAACCTCCTTGGTTGAAACTACCAAACGCGGGTGTTACTGGTTGACTGGAGTATGAAGGTTGAGGCATGGACAATTCGGGCGCGAAAGAATCGTGGTTGGGTGTGTAGAGAGGATCATCGGGAATGTCGAAACCCCAATGCGAGTCTGGGTTGTGGTGTTCGGTGTTACTGGGCCATCCGGACGTGAGAGTGTTTTGGAATCCTAACAAGACTTGTGGTGTCTCTGGTGGTGTTTGATCGGTGGTCTGACTGGGTTCCATCAATGCAGAGGGAAAACTGTGGTTGTGCATGTTGTACAAGTTGTGTAACCCGTTTTCGTGGGAGGATGAATTCTCTCTCTTCAGTGACATGTGTCTTTCTCTTGGCGACATGGGAGTTGGTGGTGCCAAACTACTCGTGAGAGATGAACCGGCGGTCAAACTAGGATAGCGAAACATGTGGGAATTCTGTTCCATGAAGGAATCAGCATTTTCGAATCCTTGTATATTGATAGGCGACCGCTGCGCCGACTCGATTGCAGGCTTTTGAATACGACCAGTGAGAACGTTAGCCCCTGCCGAAACGATCCTGCGCATTGGTGAAGGTAGAGGGCTGCCAACTTGGCGACGGAGTCCATCTATATTCGACATGGTCCTTGGTCCCATTGATGGCCTATTTCGCATTGTGTCGGTCCCCAAGTTGGCCGGCTTGACAGAAACCTTCTTCCGCCTGGCGGCTAAATCTGTTGGTGGTGGTGGGGACTTGAAGAGAGACGAGGCGGGTGGGGGGGATGAGGATGATCCGATCTCAGGCGATTCAAAGTCGTCGCTGCTCTCATGTGGCCTGAAAGTAAGAACATCCGTAAAGGATTCAGGGATAACCTGAGAGGAAACAGAGGCTGTCGAGAGTGACGACCTGGTAGTGCTTTCACCAGAGAACGAATTGAATGCTGTTGGTGTATGTCCAGATTCCGCAGTAGTAAATGGATCTAATGGCTCTGATTCATGGTACACATGGTTTATGAATGACGGTCCAAAATTGAACGGGGCGCCGTCGTAATGAGGAAACACAAAGCCGGCTGGAAATTGAGCATGATCGAGATCGGATGAGTCCGCCAGACCCTGCATATCAGCGAGGTGATGGGGTTCGTTGTGTTGTATATCAAAGCTGCCGGAAAATTCTCCCCTTTGAGAGGCGGCTTGAGCGGCAGCCATGGTACGTGTAAGGGACTCGAGACTCGCGGTCGTGGGATCTTGGTACTGCGGGTTATAGGGAGCCGTCGCTGGCGGAGGACCGGTGGTAGAGAATGCCATCGAACATGGCTGTTGCGGCGCCATTTGATAATCACCATTGTAATTGCTTTGAGGGAAATCCGGAGATGAGGGCGCGGATGCTGAGTATCCTAATGCTTCCCGCGCTTGACCAGCCTCATAGGCTTCCGTTTTCTTCTCTTGCTTACGTTTGGCTCGACGATTCTGAAACCAATTCTGCTACACATCAGTACCAAGACACACAATTTCACTTCAATTTCGTTCTTACATTAATCCTCGATAAATCGACACCCATATCCTCAGCAAATATACGCTTGGTTTGAGTCGTCGGCTTCGGGTTCTTCTGAAACTCGCGCTCCAGAATATCAACTTCATCCTTCCCAAGACGAGGTTTCGTCTCGTTGGCTTTCTGTCCATTAGGCATATTCATCATGTTGGATTGATGTTGAGATAAGGCATATCCGTGAAGAAGATGTTGGTGATCGTTATAGGAGCCTGATGGCATATGGGAAATCAAATGATCATGGTTCGGATGGTGTGAGAATTGCTGGAAGGTGGGTTGAACGTAGTCCATATTTAGTGCGGTGTTGACTCTCAACCTAATATTATAGTTACAAAGCGACGGGGCCAAAACAGGGAGGGCTCTCGGAACCAAGTAGGGCTGCTGCAATTATCGAAATTTATATAGGTATATCGTTCAACGATCGTGTGAGTAAGATTGGTGTGGTCGAGCTCGAGTATGATTAAGAAACGACTGTTAACCACTTCTACAGACAAATGAATGGAGTCCGGGTTTGAAGTGATGTGAGCAGTGATAGAATTAAGATATGATATAATTAATCAATGATTGAAATTGGGCGAAAAGAATTGAAGGAGTCTCGCAGCCGCTCGTTTCGACTTTGGGTTTCAGTGATTGAATGATGAGGGCGCGTATATATTATAAGTGCGTGGTGGAAATAATCTTAAAGTTGGCCACTTGCAGGTGAGGAATCGATAATTTCGATAACCTTAAGAGCAAGAAACTTGAGGCAAGGAACGAAGGGGCCGACTTGTTAGTCTGAGTGAGTACACTACACACACAAGTCCGGGTTAAACTGATAGTATGAAGAAAGTTATGGTCAGTTAACTGGAATGATGGAACGAAGGAAAAAGTAAAATTCCAGTAGGGAATCTTTTTGAATTAAAAGAAAAGTTATTAGGTTAGGAAAAGAGGAGGGGAAAACTAACGGGATAGCGGTAGTAATTAAAATTTAGTATGTTGGCTTTGGGTTGGGTTGGTGGCAGATGGGATCTGTGGCTGTATTTGACTGGTACCTAGGCGTTTATGCCAAAATCTTTCGAAACTTTCTTTCTCTCTACAAAAATATACAATTGTGGAAAGGGGAATGAATATATAATGGAATTTAATGGACGAGGGAGTGTAAGTGGTAAGAGTGAGCGGGAGGGGGGTGGAAGAAGGAGCAGCGACGCGCAAGTCAAGGAAAGATAATAATATAAAGAGAGGTGTGATGGTGGTGGTGGTGGTGGTGTGGTGGTGGTTGGATCTGAAGTACCGGTAGGTGGTAGTAAAAGTAAGATATGAAAGAAGGGTGGGTATAGGTAAGGTTAGGTAGATAGGTAGGTAGGTACTAGGTAGGTGCTTTAGGTTGCTAGTTGTTAAGGTGTTATTGAATTGTGGATATCCTGGTGCTGTGTGAGTGGATATGGATATGGATATGGATATGGATGTGTGTTCACTGCTGCTCGTTCGGTGGTTGTGTATGAGTTATTGAGTTATTAGCTAGTATGAGTGAGTGCATCTCAAATGTATGTACGGGGTTCTCTTGATGAGCGAGCGATCTCATAATCTTGTTGGGTACATCAAGCCTACAAAAAAGCCTATGCTTTTTTAAACAAGGGCATGATTGTAATCCCTCGCTGTTTTGTTTAAATAAATACCCTTTTTAAACCTTGATTGACCCTTGACTCTTCCTCCTTGACTTGACCTGGCTCATCACTTGGTGTGGCTTTGCAAGGGTCGAATCCCCGGGACACAACTCTTTTTGCATTTGATATCTACGAATCCTTGGATTGATTCCTTGGGGGCCTCAGATTCAGCGCGATGTGGTATGGGACCCCTTCATCGCCTCGTTTATTTGATTTGCCTAGGTAGAATAAGGGCCATCAATACAGATCATCTTATGTAACTAACTCTCCTACTTAACCTTACTTTCCCCTGAATCAACTTTATCTATATTAATTCATTCATACTTTGATATTGAGAATGATCATGATGATGATGACAATTTACATTTACTTTATATATCAAACCTTCCTCTGTCATTTCTGTCAAGTATGAGATTGATTGTTTGACAGTCAAATACGCATCTATTTCAGACTTATCCACAAACATTTCGTCCCTTTCCACACTTCCCACACCCCCAACTGCACCGTGCATTGAAAAGCGACATCATGTACTCGAGTATGGATTATACAGCGACCGAGAGCTAAAAGGAGCACTGTACCTGTAATGATACTTATCAAGCTCTAATACAAAGTAGATTCAAATTGATGATTCCAATTGCAAGTAATGAGTATATTCCGAAACGTATACTGAGAGTTTGAGCATTGGACTTTTACAAGTTACTTAAATTTCGGGCTCGGAAGTACTAATTGAAGTTTTCTGATTATAATATTAAAATTCAATTATAATATCTAATTAGAGAGTTCTCGATCTATAATTATAAATAATATAATTTATTATTTGTATTTATAACTAAATTTCTCTATAGTAAGAATACTAGATATTATAAAAAAATAAACTTTAGAAATAATAATATTTAAAATCTCGAAATCTTTATATATATATATAAAAAGAAAAGAGAAATCTTTATTCTTATAAAGAAAATTTATAATAGAGCTTAACATCATTCTATTCTACGAATACGATTAGTAGCTACTAGTAAGTCCTTCTCGCTTCTCACTTATTCTTTCAAGTTCAAGTTGTATACACCTGCAGAAAGCCGAACGGATCACACCAATTCAGGTACGAACAAGGTTCCAAGCTTCTACAAGCAAAAGCAATTGACTTTAAGCACCAACCCTACTAGTACTCTTTTGATCCCCAGCTAGACCTTAGTAAGTAAATCATTCGCACATCAGATAAAGCTTACCCATCCTCATTCAGCACCCATGTTCTGGGCAACAATACAGCCATACAGCGCAAGTCAACATAGGTAATAGCTCTCCACACCCAGAAAAAGCAATTCAGATGAATATTTTTTTGCCCAATCTTGAAGAAATGGGGGTGGAGCCAGATAAATCATACATATCTTTCGCCACATCCAAAAGTTAAGTTGTCATTCAATTTCCTACTTGAGCTTAATTTGACCTGAAATAGCACGAACCTAGCATCTCGGAAAGGAGACCGAGTTCCTAGAGCCGGCTTTTCTTTAAAAAGTACTAACTAATGCTTGTCCCGGAATGATTGGCGTTCATGATCGGATGAGATCTTCCTACTAGACCTAAAGCCCAACCCAATTTCATTCTTTCCCCATTTCTTCCCCACGTAAATTTGCGACATTGATGTACCCATGCTATCAGTATCAGTATCAGTTGTTTTTCTCTGGTAAAGAGATGATAAAATAGATCGTGGGAAATTGATGAAATATGATATCATATCATGCCATCAAGGTATTGTGCTGATCATCAACCCCTAAAGCTATCGATCGTATCGATCCAACTTCCATCCAATCTTTTCATCCCATCTAAGGAGATCCTTCCTATAAGATCCCCAGAAATTGATGTCAGCTTGCTTACACACTGTCAAAATGTGTTTCTGTAGAATAAAATATGGTTCCTGAGCTTCAACGCATAAGTATAAAAGCAGCACGAAACTTAACAGACCAGCCATATCACCTATCACCTATGAAGATAGCCATAAAATGCTACAAGGTTGCACAAAGAGAGCTATTTTAGGTCCTCTATTACGCTCGGTTGTGTATATGCAAGCCAACAGACAGAAAGGTTCACCACACACTGCTGAAATGTGCAGGTGTGCTGTGGTGAAAGGTCTTTAGCGTAGCATTAATGAGAATGCTTCACCCAAATTCTACGTTACTTTCATCTGAAAAGAAAAGATACGGAGGATAGTTTTGGGTTTTAGCTAACTATGTTGTTTTGAAGGCGGTTTGTAAGAACTAGTAAATATACCGGTACGGTATGCAGTAGTCTATCCGTAAGCCTTTTAACAACTAAACATGACAAGCCGTTATGAAATCCCATTCGTACGGGGAAGAGCGATACTCAGCGAACCACGACACCGAACCTAACACCCCCTCCCCTCGCGGAACAGAAGCACGAACAATCCAAAACATTTATTTTTCTAAAAAACCCGAACCCGGAGAAAATGACACACACCAAAGAGGAACGGAAGACCTCAAGCCTCACACGAAGACATTTCTCTTTGCATTTCCTCGATAAGACATAACCAATAGGACATGTTCCCAGCAAACCCTCACCCATTACATACATCCCCAATCAACCTAAATCGCGAACTCTCGTCCAGTCCATACAAATTTACGGATATCGGTACTTCTACCTATAAGATGTGCAATTAAGAAAATATTACGCTTCCGCGGCGCCGCATCTCAACATGAACTACAGTACAGTAGTCTGAACATCACTTGAATGCCACGAGCGTCTACGAGTAGCGTCAGAGTTGAGGATTGCCCGCAGGAGGACTAAAAAAACACATACCCTGAATCTTATCTTTAAGGGGGCCACGATGGGATCCAGCCTCGACAATCACCAAAAATCATCAAATCATCATGTGGCAATTCAGCTGGACCCCAAAAAGTCGCGTAGAAAAGCCGCATTGGGAAATGGGGTAGGTAGGCAAGTCAATTGATATGATCGTAACGTGGGGATGGGATATACTCTTCGTACTCTATTCGAGTAGAGTCGTAGACCTTTGTTACTACCTTGATTTTCTTGGCGTGGATACTGTACGCTGTCGTTTCTGTGATGGGCGCTTCTAGTCTTCCTGTCCTAGCATCTTTTCCCTTTCGTTGATAGGTACGAGGTAGGTACACAGTACAGTAGGGTTGCGAACCAACAACAATCAATTAGACGACCGATTCGGGGTATTTATTTACAATTGGCTAGCCTTCGGACAATAGCAAGTAAGCATAACGCTTTCTTTCTTTCTTTCTTTTCTTCTTTCCCTTCGCATTGCAGTGCAGTAGCAGAGGCGGGTACGGTACATGTACAGTTACTTGATATTTTTCAAAGCGGTTGGGTAGTGTCTAACTCGGGATATCAACGCTGCTGCCGGACATAGGCAGTTATTTTAATCTCCTTTGTTGCTCGATCATTACTCGCTGGCTCGTTCATGACGCTTCTCACACACATACACACACACACGATGATTTTTCGACTGGTCAGACTGGTTCCGAGTGCTTTTGGTGCTGGCGCGCGATGGATGGATGAGGGTTTTATGCAAGTACTGTAGCTACTGTGTGTGCACAGTAAGTACAGTGTTATGTACAAGGGCTATTCATACGGTCGTGTCCTTGAATAAGGAATAGTACAGTA